GAGCTGCTTTATGGAAGAACCTCAGCTTAGCCTGTTAGCTTTAGCGTTAGCCCCGACACTATATTGCCTTATATGTTTTAGCTCGGTGCTAGCGCATCATCATGATCAAACAGATCCCAGTCAAACATCCCCTCCAACACAGAAACATTATAAAAAATGAACAACATAAGTCGATACAGATGTTAATATTGATGTATTTTGCTTTTCTAATTATTGTAGCTGAGATCTGTGGGTTCACTGGTCCAGAATATTCTGCAAAATAAATTTACTGTAAAGTTATATTGAACCAGTTGAAGGTGCAGATTTTATTACTGCAGCAGCATCAAGAAAAAAACAAACAATTCAAAATACTGTAATTATCTGAAGTTTATAAATAGCTTACATTATTGTTATTAATTTCCAGTAAAACTAACCCAAACTACTTGAAATATTTGTGTACRGGTTGTGTACATTTTCAAATGTAAGTTACAGTGTTCAGAGATTTTATTTTGAAAGGAGGAACCGGATGCATCAGCTTGAATCTTTCTGGCGTGGATCGAAACAGACAAAAAGTTGCCTAAAATAACACCTTTTCGCCGAGGAACAGTGAGCAGGCCGATTAAAAAGTTTCCCGGACGGGCCACCAGTTATGTAGGGGGTAGGCTCAAGGTGAATTAAGCCTTTCTACATATCTCTCGTAACAAGGTTATGAGGAAACTTTTACCAAGGTATTTTCTCATTACTTTAATATCTCGACTGTGCGAAGTGAAAAGTGACACAATAAGTGAACGTTCAGACGAGTTCAAATTGATTCATAAAAGACTATAAAATCATTTATTTACACAAATTGAACAGATCATAAGTACACCTGATTGTGGTTATTCCTATAACAAGCTTCAGAGTTAAATGAGATAAAACTCGCGTCCGAATTTTAATTCACATTAAACTCAGATTACTTATATGTAGAACAGTAAACATCAGTTCTGATGTTAACAACCAAACAATTTTACTGGCACTGTTAGCTTAAGTTTTGGCAAATAAAGAACAAAGGAAAGGATGAAAATAAGGTTAGTGTAAAGTTTTACTTTATCAAGAGTGTAGTTCAACCGGATCAGCATGTCCCTTCTGCACTCAGTTTCCACATGACACGTCACCCGGAACACGTCAGTTTTACCTGGTGATGGCTTCTTAACCAAACCCTGGGTAGTCACTGCTTCACCTCCTATCAGTCAGGGAACTTTTTAATCGGCCCGCTCACTGTTCCTCGGCGAAAAGGTGTTATTTTAGGCAACTTTCGTCTGCTTCGATCTTCGCCAGAAAGATTCAAGCTGATGCATCCGGTTCCTCCTTTCAAAATAAAATCTCCTCTCGGGAGTTAAAAACACACTTTGAGACTTGTAGTCTCGGGTGGGACAGTCAGCTGGCGTGCCGCTGTCCCTGCTGTTAGATGTTCCCTAGTTGGCTCATGGGCAAGACCTAATGAGCCAAACTGGCTTCTCCGGAGAGAAACTCAGCATTACTTCCCAGTTCGGCATCCAGGAAGAAGTGTTTCCGTCACTCAAAGGCGTCCGTGTTAGTAATAGAAGCGGACGACTTTGGTTCCACCCTCAAGCGTTAAGATGGGTCAGAGAAAAGGAAGAAAGATAAGAGATTTGCCAGCCAGGCGCCAGCCAAGGTTAAAATTCTGTGGTTGTCACAACAGAA